AGGGGATGTCGCATGTAGATGCGCGGTAGCCCACCATTAAATGTGTCGCCTGGTGTAGGAGCGTTCTGTCTCCGAGGTCTCAGAGTCCTGTGCGCACACAATAATGTGCTCAAGCAACTCTGCCTTCAGGGCGTGATGGAATGTCTCAGATTGAGCTGGAGAGAACGTCCATGGAACGCGGCTGTCCCAGTTTACCCGGTTTGCCAAACGGGAATTCGTGGTACCGTGGTCTGGGGAAGGAGCCTTGGGATCCGGTTGGGGGTATTTTGGTCTCATCCCACACTTTGGGATCTGATCCCGAAACCACAACGACCGGGTAGCGTTTGGTCCAGCAGAAAGTGTTGCATAAGATTTTACCTCCTTCGTGGCTGATCAATGTCCGCTCATCAACACCGTCTGCGCACTCTGCGTCCAACTCCAACGTGTCAATGGGGTTGCTTTGGACCTCGACGCACGTGATCCCAAGTATTGAAGCAACTGTAAATGTTTGCCTTAGGATTAAGGGTGGGGGTATTTACATCGTATCACTAGGATCGATGATACTCTGTATCACCCCAAAGGCATGGCTCACCGAGTCGTTAAGAACTCTGAGGGACCGCCCAAGGTACTGGCTGTATCCGACGCGAGCGAACTGTGTCTCCTTTCCATGTGAGAGAGCGTGTTCGACTGTGCGTCTCATGACAGGGTCCGTTCCCTCTGGGGACCCCCCTGGGTCGGTAAGAAGGGCGTCAAACCCCACAGCGGAGACCAGACACAAGGGTAAAATCATTAACGTTGTACCATTACTGCGCGATGAACCCTGGCTGGCTGGCTGAAAGTAGGGGGGTGCAACATGTGCCCTGCCCTGAAAGCCCTGCCCCGAGATCAGAGGCCAGCACCCCGTTGGCATTCAGTGCCCAAGGCCCCAGAGGAGACCCGGTGCAACTAGCCTGAGCCTCGGCACCCAAATTAGTGGGAGAGCTACGGCTGGGAACGGGGGGTACCCCGGAAGAGACATGTTTGAATGCAAACGATGCTTTTGTGTTGCTTCCTGCTTGTCCACCAGGGGGCCGCAGTGGAGACAGCTCGCTCCGACTGCGTCTGATCTACCCGGCCTGCCAGGGACGCAATTTGCCCCAACAGTCCTTTGACCAAAGCCCTCAACTAGGAGACAAACCCGGCGCCGTGCAAAGAAGAATCCACTAAGGGACCTGCAACAGGCCACATAGGAGGAAAGACCTCCATGGGCACAGCCTCGCTGTAGCCAGTATAATCGGGTAAACCTCCGCCTGAAAACACAGACTGTGAGGATGCCCTCCCATCAGCGGGGGGAGGCCGAAAAAATATCGGTACCTCCTAAGTCGGGCCTCCTACTCGACGTCCCGGTAGGCGAATCACCGGTAGCCGAGTGTGAGGACTTTCCACTCATGCCAAACACACAACTCAATTTAACCGATTTTTACTGGACGCGCAACCATGCTGTGAAAATACGTAAATACGTGGTCAGTCTCAGCGATTTGATGGCTCTGAAAAAAAATATCAGGCCTTAGAACTCCAGTGAAAAACACATGCCTTCAAGGCAAAAACCCTGAACCCTGCACGCAGCCACGGCAAAAAGCATATCCGATGCGGGTTCTATGCTGGTAAATTCTGATTATAACCACTGCACAGTCGATTCGAAAACAGGAGAGACCAAAAAATGGCAGCGAGTCCTGGTGCTGTCATTACATCTATTTATTTCTAAATACGTAGATCAAGCCAAAAATGAAGACGACATGCATGAGGGAAGCGAATTACAGTAGGGAAAGGTGACGTAACAAAATCAACACGTGATTAAGCTACGACGCCCGGGTTTTATTTCTTTGTTGTGAAAAATGCTACACAGAAAGAGGAAAACGACACACAGGTAAAAATGACAAGGAAAACTTATTCTACCAGCTACAATGCCCAGCGGCAACAACCCAAGGTAGAAGCCCAGACAAAAAAAAGCAAGCGATCCAGGCAGAGCTCGCTAGACTTCATCTCTACTCGAGGCGGAGAAAAAATCAGAGTGATTAGCCAGCCGTAATGACGCCGCCATATGGCCTCGGTCACATGGTTCATGACGTAAGGGAAAAGAATCTTGGGGTCATGGGGCTTCCCCTGACCTAGAGTCTATCTCTCAGTCATTGGCAGAATTGCTGATTAATGCCTACAGTTCAAAATAGTCATTTTGACGGGCCGGAGTTTATGGTGGGTAATTGAACGTAGTGAATTCGACCATCATGAATGAGAACTGCACATCAATCAAATAAGGTAGCAAGTTTGACAGAGTACAGAGTACAGAGAACTATGAATACTGTATGCTATGCACTACACGCTCTATTACAAGTATAGGGTCAAAGTTAGTTGTATTCAAAGCAAAAAAATTTAATTCGTGCCTTATGTTTGTAAAAGAACACATTGTTGTATACAGAGACTATATTGAGAAAATTGCGTACTGGATATTAATATAACATGGTCCACAGAGATATTTAGGCGACTATTAAAGGAAGTATAAAAACAATGTTAATTGATTGACCAAATCCAACATTTATCAAATGTTTTTCAATGAGTTAGAATTGTGACAATTGACCACTGCTAGTAGAGTAATAACATGCAAACTGTGCAGTTAATCGTTATACAAATTGAGTAGTTAAACTTTATAGAAATATCAATATATATCCCAGTTTTCTTTTTATTTCACCTTAAACAACACAATATATCGTGACTTAAAATGTACATATCATTACATAAGGCACTGTTGTAGTAATGCCAGCCCCAATTTTACTAGAAACATGTGCAAACGTGATTCTACTTCACACGAACAGCATTAAATGGCCTTACTTCCACCCAAATCAAATGTGTCTAGATGTGAACTTGTGGTCCATCATTTAGATCAATGCGAGAAATTCTGAAAGATGACTTGTTCATAGTTTTCAGTTGCTGGTGGTTCATTCGGGTAAAATAAATTGTTTATGACTACTGCTACACAGGTACATCAATATTAACAGAAGCACATTACAAATAATCATGTTTATGACATGTTTCAACCTTTTGAAAAGATTATGCAAATTATAGAGCCGAATAAACATGTTTATGATCAAAAAGCAGAGTTTGATTGAATTATACTAAAGAGTTTTGAAGAAAATGCTGTTTATACATTAAAGCAAAGAAAACAGAATGGATAGTAATCACCTTTTTAAGGATGTAAAAGGTGAAATATTTAGTTAAATTTTAGCAGCTTTGATATTTATTATTTTTACTAGGTTTAAATTTCATTGTTTTGTGAATGAAACAATATATCAAATGATTAATAAAAATAAGTGAAAACAAGTTATTTTTAATGTTGTAATTAGAGGAAATGTTATTCATGTCCCAGATAATATGGCAAAAAAGCAAGATGGCTGCAAATGTGTCTTTTAAATAATCACATATTAAATTGTTATTGACATGTATTACTACTTATAATATGCAATCAAATTGGATACGCAAATAACTGGTCATGTGACATGGCAATTTGTAGTGTATGGTCAGTATTAAATTGAGAGTGAATAATTAACTAATCTAGTATAAAAAAAATCTGATTTATTACAAGACTTCTAAATATGCAATCAATACATATATGGTTACAATCTTTATATTTCTCATAGTTATGCAATTTTTGTATCCAAACTCCAATCCAAACCAAATGTAAATTGCATGTCTCCAGTATTATGTGTGCCAGTCTAACTGTTGTGGTGTTACCCAATGACACTCTTTCTACCAATGTTTTCATGGCGAGAAATTAAGGCACAACGAAGCACAAGTAAAACATGAACGTGTCACAAGAATATACATTGTATCTTTGAGAATATACAACTTGGAGTGTCAGTTAAAGTTTACTCACATATGAAGTGTATGGGTACTCGTAATCTTTTGAACGAGATATTATTTATCTCAAGAAAAAAACTTGCCATTGATGAATTAATTTACAACCAGACTCATTCTTGTTAAACTGAATGATCTATGTACATCTTTTTTATATTATTTATTATTATTTTGATTATTTGACTATCAACATTGAATACAACCTTTGGATCTTCCTACAAATAAACATAAAGATATATATTATGATGAATATGACAAAAATATGAGACTTTACATGGGTATCATAGATTTAGTAGTACGGCCAAAAATGAAAATTACTGGCATTAGACCATCTTTGATCCGATCATTAAAAAAATCATCATGCACATGCATCTCTACAAGCCAGGCTGTCATCTTTAATCAAATTACAAAATGAACACTTTCATTTACAAGTCATGTGCGATACATTTATTAAAATGGTACAATGGTGAATGAGATATAACAGTATGGCAAAAAAAGAAATAGCTGTCAACTGTCTTTGACACGATTGTGAAACTAATTGTCATGGACATGTATATCCCAACATATAGGACATAAAAATTATGTTAACAATACATTTTCAAAAAAACATTATGGTTACTAGTCAGCCATGTTGAAACTGATTGCAAAACAAATCAGTAGAAACATGCATTGCAGCGTGTATAATGTAGGTACAGAATTTGAACAAAAACTGACAAAGCAATTCAAAAAACAAAATGGCTATCAGTTGACCATATTGGGTTGAATCACTACATATGCATACGTGCCACATAAGTGCTAGGCACATGCAATAAATTAATGGATTAGGTCGAGATAGATTCTGAAATACGACTCTAGACAGACGGAGACCAAATTAAAAGTCCCTGTTTTCAAACTTTGTTGAAATGGGGGGAAAAAGTGAATAATTAAGCCCTATACAGTAATAGTCTTATATTACATCTGTGGGCAACTGTTAAATATTTGCAAACATTTTAAATTAGATATTTATTGTTAAGTATGTCATTGAATAATTATAAAACTACCTAATTTAGAGTGCCACTAAGATATGTCTAAATAAATTTTGCAAGGTAGTATTTGTGACAAAACTCCAGTATACGAATTAGGTAGAATTACTGTGAAATCTGGGGTTATTTCAAAATCATCTTTAAACTTAAAAAGGACAGATATTCAAAATGTTGAATACGGTACTGAACTGAAATATTTTGGGAAGTACCAACCTAGATACAACCTGAGAAAATAAGAAACAAAGTTATGTTTTCAGAAATAGAATTGCATAACATCAATCAGAGTTGGCGTAGCCAATTCCAATGAAACAAAATGTTGGAAAGTCAAATTGAGCATTCTTGCTGAGCATGGGATAGTGATGAGGCGACTGTTGATACAGACCCTGGCCAGCAAAAATGTCGATATTGGAGACAGGAAATATGAAATATTGTAAAATACTTTATTTTCGCTTGGAATTAATTTTCACTATTTTGGCTGAAGGAATGATTCAGTGAAAATAAAATCCAGCGAATATACCGTTTTTTCCTATATTTTAGATTAAATTTATCAAAAATCAGTGAAAATAAATTCCATACAAAACAACCAAAATGTCTTTTCTTTGAAAATTAATTCGCGATAAAATAAAGTATTCTACAGTAGCTATATTTCTGCATATGTCGACAGCAACTATGTGTTTTCTGCATATCAAGCAGGTTGCAAGAAACTTAAGCATTTATCACATAACAGTTTTGTTCGCATCAAATCCATTTTATTTTAAAATTCATCTTATTCGCACAAATCATAATAATACAAGAAAAACAATGGAAGAGTGAAAACAAAAAAAATTAGTGTTATGATGAAAATTATGGGACATGGCCTTGTAGCAACATTTAAAGAAAGTTCAACAACAAAAATTCAAAAAATAAAATGTGATCATAGTATCTTCAGTTGGTGTTGATGTCAGTCCTTGTATCTATTGCCCCTCTACCCCTATAATAAATAATGGTTTAGCCTAATGGACGTTGCTATGACTCCTCTTCCTCATCACCATCCAGTAGATCTTTTGATATAACTGAGTTATAGTGTTCACCAAGTCCATATACGTGCTTGTGATATCTGAAAATATAATACAATAAGATACAATGGTTACAATAAGATATGATCTTTCGGGGATTCCACGAGAGGTATGATAGATTTAGTCACGAGAATCCCAGGCACTACAATACATATATTAAAGTGCCTGTGAAATGGCTGCTATTTTCACGCCTAAAATTATCAATTGATACATAAATATTATTAATTTTTATGTTTCTAAGCATGAATTATTTTTGTTAAGTGAAAAAATGTGTTTTAAACTCAGTCTACGGCAACTTTATTTTTGTGTATTTTAAAACAAGGCTCCTCATTAGCTTCTCATTTGCATACAGAAATTCCCCTTGTGACGTTGGAAGGGGAAGTCGCATGGCAGCTTGCATTGCCGATACGTGTAAATAAGGCAAATTTCTTGTGCAGTTTTCTCGTCTTTGACTATATTGTCACTTATGTACTTGTTCGTCGAGGAAGAATGGACCATAATGAACACACAATATCAATTTTTGTTGCATGGGGTTGAGTTAGATGCGAAATATGTCCGTTCTGGTGTAGCTGGTCATCATGATCGTCACCGACACCGGCGCACGTTTGTAGTGTATTTAGCAGGTTGCTAGGCATGTCACTACACTGTTTTATTTCATTGATCATCTGAGTAAAACTTTCAAAATTAAAATAAAAGAGAACACATTTTGACATTCTAAACATTAGACTATAGTGATCACTCTGAAATAATTAAAAAAACGACAAATCACAGTTACTAAATAAATGACAGCCGCGTGGAAATAAATAGACATTTTGTTGAAATAGGCGAACGCGTCAGGTCACGGCGAGGGCAAGTGCGTTAAAAGCGGCGTTTAATTGAATAACAAAAATAATTGAGATCGACACACATACAGATAAATTCAGAGTGGATTCGAGTTAGCGTGATCCACGGCGTGATTGTCATAATTATAACATCGTATTAAAACTTTATTTGGTGGAAACACATTGACCAAGCCCGGATTCTTATTTCATAAATTATTACGCAGATCAAGCTGCAAGCATGGAGGTAAAAAAGAACAGAGGTGTGAATTCGACATTCAACACCAATCACCAAACAATTCAGAAACTTCGAAAATGAAAACAGTTAGCAGTGTGTAAGGGCTGTGTAATTTCCTGTTTGTCCGACGCTTCGTTTTTGTGTCACTGTCAAAATCATTGCTACCTTTTACTTAACAGGGACTAAATGGTCTCTATAAAACGATAATCAGGATCGCAAAAAAAGTCAACTGATTTGAAACACTTGCCGGACGTCT